GGGCGACTGATCTATTGAGTTTAGTCACTGCTTTATTACCTCCTGTGTGTAGTGGAGTTACGTCTGGTGACTTAAGGGCTGGTGGCATCTCCCCTGTGTCCTGGCTCTTTCTCCGTGTTACACTGAGCGCTCGAGCTGCTGGGACTCCACATTTCCTTGTGGATATTGAATTCCACGAGATCACACCCAGGGTTGACTGCCACCACCACACCAGTGACACAGTGGACGCAACAGTGCCAGCAGTGCCAGGGGGCCCAGCAGTGCCAGGGGGCCAGCAGTGCCAGGGGGGGGCCAGCAGTGCCAGGGGGGCCAGCAGTGCCAGGGGGGCTAGCAGTGCCAGGTGGGCCAGCAGTGCCAGGGGGCCAGCAGTGCCAGGGGGGCCAGCAGTGCCAGGGGGGCCAGCAGTGCCAGGGGGGGGGCCAGCAGGGCCAGGGGGGCCAGCAGTGCCAGGGGGGCCAGCAGTGCCAGGGGGGCCAGCAGTGCCAGGGGGGCCAGCAGTGCCAGGGGGTGCCAGCAGGGCCAGGGGGCCAGCAGTGCCAGGGGGGCCAGCAGTGCCAGGGGGGGCCAGCAGTGCCAAGGGGGGCCAGCAGTGCCAGGGGGGGGCCAGCAGTGCCAAGGGGGGCCAGCAGGGCCAGGGGGGCCAGCAGGGCCAGGGGACAGCAGTGCCAGGGGGGCCAGCAGTGCCAAGGGGGGCCAGCAGTGCCAGGGGCCAGAATACAGATGGCGGCCGCCGGCTGTGTTCGTACCACCATCCAAACTTTTTAATTAATTTGGGACGTGAGGAGTTAGTTTACATAAGTTGCTCGGTGATGACACATTAAACTGACTTCTTGTTGGGGGTGGTAATGGTGGGGGGGGGGGGGGCGAGGGGGCAGGGGCGGGGGGGGGGGTGATGGTGGTGGGGGTTGTTCAGGGCTGTGGTGGAGGGGGGGGGTAATGGGGTCGTGAGGTTGTTCAGGCATTCGTCTGTGTTTCCAGTTTCTAATTATGTCCTCTCGTTCAACTGCTCATTAATTTGAACATTGCTTTCATATCTGCTTTATCAATCCTGCTTAGTATCTTGTACGTCGTCATCATGTCTGTCTCGCTCCAGATGTTCCACTAGTTTTTTTCGCACAATCTTCTCCATCAACTTGCATGGTATGCAACTTAGGAACACTGGTCTGTAGTTCAG